GGTTGAAGAGTTTCAATGGCTGATTGATTTTGAGTCTGAACTCCGTTTGTCCTGGTTACCATTGTAGAAGTTTCAGTTTCTTTCACTTCATGGTTCGTAGGGACGATTTTTAAATCACCTGGACTCCGAAGCCTGCTAAGAGCAATCGACATACTCCGTTGTCGTGGCTTCTCTGATTGCGGACGCAACTCACTGTTAACTATCAAGTTAGAAGCTCTCCCCGAACCCATCGAGTGTCGTTGTGAAGGATTCGGGAAATTGTAATTAATGAAATTTGTTGCCTAATTTTAAGGAAAGATCAAACTTGAAAAAAGGGAATATGTGTACACCCAGTTCAGTATTTTAAAAATACATTAAAACATTTTTAAGGCACAAAGTGAAATCATTGATATATGTAGAATATTTAAAATAGATATACTAACCTCCATGGGTTTGGACATTTGTTCTCCGACTGATAATCTACAAACGCACTGTTATCACCTAATAACAGTACAAATATGCGCCTCCAATAATAATCATGACCTTATTCTCAGTGAACAGATTTATACAAACACCTTATTTCAATTTACTAATATTTATCACCATTATTTGTATCGACTCATAATTCAGAGGACGATATATTATAAAAAATCCAATATTTTTTCTTGAACCTTTGTTGTGTACAATTTCCATTTTAAATTTCAGAAACAAAAAATGCTGAGGTATATTGGCAAATTAAGTATATATTCTATAAAATGAAGACCCCAACTTTGAACCTAGATAGTTGAATTTATTTCGCATTTACTGTAGAAATGCCTTGTCAGTTTATCGAAAGCAACTGAAATTGCTTCTAGCCAAACCACCTTTAATCAATCAGTTCTAATAAATCATTATTGCAATCTCTTTCTTCAAGACTGGACTTCAAGTCTATTCTGTAATGCTTTTGCCCGATTGTGGGGATTTTTGTCTTCTTTAAATCAGTTGTGAAATTAGCGTGCTGGTATTTTTAAAGGATAGTTAGTATAATACTTGGTGAAGAATTTCCACTCTTCGGGTGGTGGTTCATAAGTGTTCAGGTTCTGTCTATGTATTCGGTAGAGTGGTGATATATATATATGAAATGAGATTCGAAAACTTCCTCATGGTGACTTTGTTTTTGCCATTGTTAGTGATTATAGAAACCCGAATGTGAGGAAATTCCCTTTCTTTTGCAACAAAAGAATAGGTTTATCTTAATTGACCAAGGGGAGGATGGGTCACACCACATTCCTCTTTAGAGTTACATAGTAGTTTGTTGTCGACGCTTTCATGTCATTAGCCTCCGTTATTCCTGTTTAGTTGGAAGCCACAATGAGAGAGTCACAGCATCAATTGACTAAGCGCAAAAGTCACGAGGCTACTGATTGTGGTCTTCGGTTGGAAGTTAGGAGGAGCATTCTGTTCATGTGTCTACACTGGCGTCTCTCTGGACAGCAAATACATTTCCTCAGTGTCTTACTTCTTCACCCCCAAAGTGTGAAATCGATTAATGTAAAAGCAACATTGAGAAAAATATGTGGACGTGAGCTTGTTCAATTAATAAGCCAACTTTATTAATAAAGTCGGAACCCAATCACCGATCAAATTGGGACTTGGTAGTGGTTTTTATTTCACCTTTGAGTGTTAGAGAAAGCACTTCCATTCAGTGTTTGTGAGAGTTATTGTATTCGCTAAGTGATGAGAATGTACATTTTGGTGATCTAAGTCTTGGCGCTATGTGCTCCAATTTACTTCACATTTCCTCTGGTTGAAATGCTTAAAAATGTGTGCTTGTTGTAGATGACTGAACGAGAGTCACTCTAGATTTTGTCATTGCACCTTTTTACTATCACCCTTTAGCTGGAAACCACAACTACATAGTTACCGCATCATTCGACAAAACCGTCAAATTATGGGGTCACCCGTTGTGGTCGCCAATTCGCACCCTGGAGGGCCATTCTGGTCGATGTGTCTATGCTGACATCTCTCTCGATAGTAAGTACATCGCGTCTGCGTCTCACGACATGACCTTCAAAATATGGAACCGAGCAATGGAGAAGCATAATTGAGAAAAGAGCGGAACCTGTGTCCATTTTGTGTGTATCAATAAATATGTCCTCTTTTTACACTTGAAATGGGTTTTGATCATTTCAATTCCCCTCTTGTTTTCATATTGGGTGGCGTTTCATGAAGTAATGAGATTTGAGAAATGAATTGACTTTGGGAAACAGAATACCAGAAGCTCTTGTCTCAATAGCTCTGAATGTACTTCACATAAGTGTGTGAATGCTGCAAGAATTTAAGTGAAGCCAAAAATTGTTGAGACCTTTCTTCCACAAAGGAATACAACCAGATTTTTGTTGCTAAGGGTCTCGAGTGATTCCAGAAACTGCAAATGAACTCTCCAGTGCTCCTACAAATTAGGGCACCTTCCATTTCACGAGTCAGGTAAAATAATAACCAATACTTGCATAAATTGAGATCCTGGGTTTAGTAGCTGCCCATATTAGACAACAGCTTAAAAAGGAAGGGAAATACGAATGAGAGTAGGAATGAGAATGGCAAAAATGCAGAGGTATAAATTCAGGCTCGTTAAATTTCGTTATGAAAATCCTCCAGAGACCTCAGATGAAGTTGAGCACTCCTGATTTCACAACGTTCAATTTACACTGTTCGAATCCTAAGATTATGAGACCTGTCACGTTGTTTATTTCACAATCTTACGTGATCAAATGCTTAAGTTCAATTGAAGTGGTTACAATTTCGCTTCAACCAAGGACAGTGTTAGTGTCGAGTGTGTATATTTAATGAGTATAATAAGTTAGAAAGTCCCTTTCTATACCATTCTGTTTCTGAGATTCTCCAATTCCTTGAAAATGTGACATCAGTGTAAATCTTGGGGTACGCGATAGACTAATCACCACGTGGTGCACACTGGGCAATGTATACTGATAGGGAAAAATGTCCATTGACCAGTAGTTGACTTCTGACTTCCACCCATCCCACAGTACTCATCTCACCTCTTCTATGCCTTTGTGTCTCACTGTCTCTTTTATATCTTTG